TTTCTTTTCTTTCTATCGGTCTAAACTTTGACAAGACTATGTCGTCTTTATTGTTACAGGAGGAGGAGATGGCTTCAGTGCCGACGACACCTAATACAACTACACCGCCTCCAATATCGACGACAACGACAATGCCGAATTCGGCTTCTGTGGCATCTGCCGAGAAGACGCATGGAATAGCAATCGATGAGCCGTCGGCAAGTTTTTTCTATTTCTTTTTTGTTTTCGTCATACTCTATTATTCTGGTCTATTTATTTATTTTTCTTTAATCAGGTGGCTCATCAAGCCATTCTATTTATTCTCGATGTGCTCATTCGGAACAATCAAGCTATGCCAATTGTGAAGCTGTACGATAGCTTCGCCGACCGAACATTTACACCACAAATGTTACGTGCTGTTGGTGGAAACGAGCAAGGATTACAACAATTCTTGCTTCGTTATCCTTCATTATTTACTGTTAACAACGACACTGTTTCAGCAAATAGTGCTACACCAGTTCGTACATTAAATTCATCCTCATCATCGAAATCTCATCAGAATCGATCGAAACCAACAACTTCGCCCGCCTCGAGTAACGAGGCGAGTGAAAATGATCCGATGACAACATCAATAAGTAACACAACGAACAACAACGAAACAGTGTGGGATGCAAAGACAATGCGCGAAATCGAACAAGAAGCAATCAATTTCTTTAAAAAACAACTAACAAAACGTGAGGAAGAATGGTTACCGATTGTAAGCGTTGCTGGACATGCATCTCAAGCATCCGCCGATGTTCGCAAATATGTCGGTCCACAAAATGAATTCAAGATATTTCTTTTACGTTATCCAAATATATTTATTGTTCGTGATGAATTTTGTGGCTTGAAAGTAATTTCAATTGAAAATTTGCCATTTCAAAAACATTTTTCGTTGTTTTCTTCTCAAAGGGTAAAGCTGATATACCAGGAATACCATTTCCACCTCCATCGCCTCCGCCAAAACGACGTTCAACTTTGACGAATTCTGGCGGTAATAATTCGATGTTAACTCGTTCGGCTTCGTTTAAATCAAGTATACGGCCAATGCTTGGCGGTAATTCCATGCCAAGTACACCAACAATCGGAATGAATACATCATCATTACTTTCATCAACATCATCAGCAATACGAAATCCATCTCAACGTTTAACACCTAACGAAGTCAAAGCTGTTCATTATGTTATGCGTGCACTACATAAAAATGGACGTGTTTTACTTCAGAGTGTACCGAATCTGATCGCTCGTGCACCGGATCATTTAACACCGTTGATTGGTTTTACACGCGATGATTTAATATTATTTTTTAAACGTCATAATGCGGTTTTTCAACTACACACTGATGGAACAGTTACTGTGAAATCTGATGCTGCGCGGGCTCTACTGAATAAAAGCGATGCAAACAACAATGGCACTGGCAATAGTTTACAAACATCATTGTCGTCAACACAATTGTCTCAATCAGCAACGAATTCGATTTCAGCGACTGGTGTTGTCATAAGAATCTTTCCAAAATATGGAATACTGAATATGGATAATAATGAACAAGTGTTTTTCGATATACAATCATGTCATTTTGAAACATTCAGTGACCTCACTTGTGTGGTTAATCCCGGCGATACTCTAAATGTCAATGCTATACTCGGTCCAAAAGAAGGTAGACTACGAATGAATGATCATGAAAATAAGATTTGCATTCGGTATATTCTAGGTTCGACCAAATGGAAATCTTTGAAAACTTGGCCACGTCAAAATCCTCGTCCAAATATTGTTCATTCAGCAAGTACTAATAATTTATCATCGATGACATCGACGAATGGTGGTTACATATCTCCGCCATCATTTGAATCCTACGCAAATTCATCTAATGGATATGCGCCTATTGATCAAGAATTAAATGCTTATCAAATCAGTAATGATTTAAATGGTAGTGGATATGACGAAATAGTCGATACAAACGGTGGCCAATTGTCACCAATTGGATTGATTAATTCGACGAATCCTACACGACATAGTCGTCTTGGCTTACCTACACTCGATGAAGAACAATGTCCACTGCCTAAAATGGTCAGTGGTCTCGATGCCGAAGTTCTTCGACGTAATTTACAACAAGTTATTCAACGAACAAATACGATTTCTCTACGTGAACAAGTCGATGAAACTGGTCGATATGTCTCTCAAGGATGTCAAACAACGTCGACAGGAGAAATCTTAGCTACAAATATCCACATCGAATAAATATCTTTCATGTTTTCGATTCGTTTTAGTCGGGAATGCATTCTTTTTCTAGCTAGCAAATGTGTGCATGTGTGTGTGCATTTCAGTTCATTTTTATTGTTCGATTTACATACATTGGCTACGGTTTTTCATCATTCTCTCTTTTGTTTTCTTTTTACAAACACAGACTGTTTTTTTTCTCTTGTTTTGGATTTGTCTTCTTCAGTTTTTTTTTCTTTCTTGTTTTATACATAAAAGATGTGTGAGCACAAAATAGGAAAATATCTTTGGATAATGTAGATTATCGACTGACATATGATGTAGATTCTATTATTACTCAATACTTTTGTCGTATGTATCTAACCTATATGATTTATAGTTATATAAATATCCTGCCGTAGTTGAAGATGATGATAGAGATATCGAATAACATTGATAAGTAGAAGTAACCTATTTGAAGGAGTGTTATTTAGGATCTGATTACATGAGTAGAGCCTATCATTTAAGAATTACTGATGATCGAGAGAAATAGTTATCAGGAGAATATGTTATTTCTGTCTATCTGGAAATAAAACCCCCTCTAGACGTATATAGTTAACAACCGTCTCTCGTTGATTACTACTCTCTCGAGAGAGTTTTGATGATAGCTGTAGATACATTGCAAACAATAGAATTGATGTACATTATCATATCGTGTTGAGTCTTAGTCGACATATTGTAAAGAGTAATAGAAGACTATCTAGAATTGTGACAAAGTTCGTTTCTTTTTTCGAGTATTCGAGGTCAATAGATAAGCCATTATTATTGGTTTTCATTGATAAAAAGTCGATTTTTCTATTATTGAATTCAGCGTCGAAAAGATATTACAAGAAAATTGAAATGTTTATTTCTTAACGGGTGCCTATCTTGCTCAATGCTTTAGAAATACCGTTTTTACGTTTGTCAGTGTCCTCTGTAATCGCTGCAGACACAGCTGATGCCACATGTGGATTACGAGGTGGTACAGGGTGCCCTTGTAAATATTCATCAAGATGTTGAACGGAGAGTGTGACATCACTACTCGCGCTGACAATTTGCACAAATGTGCTATGAGCCATTCCATCTGTTGTTTGTTGATTAATTTTGAGAATAACATCGTTTGTTTGAAGACCAGCTGTATCAGCTGGACTGTTCTCTTCTACGCGATGAACAAGGTAATAAAGCTTGTTGTATTGTAGATGAAATCCAAAGCCTTGAAAATCTGGCTTACGTTGTAAAGCTACTTCGCGAATACCTTCTATACGAATACTTGGTTTTGCATTAAGAGCGGCCGCAGTTTCTTGCTTTCGTTCAGCATCAGGAACGTTGTAGGCACCCTGATTCGCACTTTCATTGTTTTTAGAGGCCGTTGGTGTGTATGGCGGAGGTGGATTTGAGTCTTGTTTATTTTCAGCAGGTGGATTACGAGAACTCGTAGTACCAGCCTGGTCACGAGAATTTGTGGTACTAGTGGCGGGTGGATTACGAGAACTTGTAGTACCAGCCTGGTCACGAGAATTTGTGGTAGGTGGATTACGAGAACTCGTAGTACCAGCCTGGTCACGAGAATTTGTGGCATTGGCACCAGCCATATCGCGAGCAGTAGATGCTATGAATAGAAAAGAAAATCTTTACTTAAAGCCAAATAGCGTAAACTTACAATCTTGATTTCGTTTTTCATTTAAAACAAGTGTAACAACATCAGCCATGTGCTGTTTAGTTGGAAGAGATTGTTCTGTTGATTTATCGGTTGTATTATTGAACAATGGTGAAGATGATTCATTGATGTCTCCTGAATTTCTGTTCGCTAGAAAAATAGAATACTCCTTTCGGTTTATAAGATTCTGTGTAATACTTACTTGGAATAGGTTTTGAATCAATTGATTCGTTTGCTGAAGGCGATATTTGTGTACGCAATAGAAGGTGAGACGTTCCCATCGATGGATATGACTTCGGCGCTAAAGACGCTTGTGATTGATCCTGGTAAGTTACTTCCTCGTCATCTTCGTTTGCCGATGTCTGTGTTTCTTTGTCCACAAGTGTGGGTTCTTTTGGGCGATGAGGACGAGGTTTACGTCGTGAACGTTCTTTTTTATGATCATTGCCAAGAGAATAACGGGAAGGAAATGTATTAGCCGCTAGATTCGATCGAGAGGTTGCGCGTGACGTAATAATGAATTCATGACCATTGTTTGTTGTTTTGGATGGCACAATTTGCACGTCTTCGTCGGCAAAAAGTGATTTCAGATAACTGTATTAAATCGTATGTAAAAATAGATCAATATAAGTTTCTAACGAGTAGAAACTTACTTTTCAAGATCCAGACTACTATGCGCTGATTGCATAGTTGAATTTCGTTGTGGTTCGATATGGTGATTATTCGCATTAACGGAAGTTTTGTCGTTCAAATCGTTTGCTAATGGTAAATCAAATGTATCGAACATACCTGCTGATTGAATAGTCACTGTTAATGTATTAGCATTTGTTGCCGCTTGAACAACAAATTCTTTCGGATCTCTGGGGATGGCTGATATCAATTGTCCATTAACAGATAAAATACGATCACCAGGTTGAATATTCGCTTCGGATGCAGGTGAATTACGTTCAACCGTCACCACATACAGACCTTTAGGGACGTCTTCGCCAAGAAACAATCCAAAACCTTCATGGTTAGGACCTTTCTGTAAGACAACTGTTCGCGACGATGGCTTTCGCCCTGATGAAACCGACGATAGCGCATAGTAGACAGGATTCGACTGGGTCCCGTTCGACATTGCTAACGTTTTCTTGTCACGTTTGCTATGTTTTCAAGGATACAAAGTTAGTAGCTATTTGTTCTACGGTTCGAAATGGCGATTATTATTTAATATACGCTTCATTGCGCACCATTCACATTTTTTTCCTCCTCATTCCTACTTTATGGTTTATTTCGAAGTCATATCAAGTTCGACTTGACTGTCGTAAGTACAACAACGCAAATGAATTATAACTTTATGAGAAAATAATATTTATTGCTATTATTATTACAAGAGTTTAAAAATAGATGAATTTTTGGTGCAACCGGGTTTACAGAGAAGGAAATTGATAGAAAATAGGCAAAAAATAATGTCATTACCGATTAGCCATTGGCTGTTGTGGTTTACTAAAAATTGTATACAAACTGTGCTTAATTATGACTGATTCATGCGTTAAATGTGTCGGTGAAGACATCATAAATTGCCGATTGAGGGACGGCGGTCCAAGATAAGATGTCGACGATGTTCGGGGACATTGTTGATCAAGTGAGAATCTTTTATACAACGGTTGTTTAATTAAAAAGGACATTTAATCATCTGAAGTGGATCAAAAGATGATTAGTTATGTTTGCTTTTTTTTTATAAGATAAAATCAAATGAAATACAAGAGGAAAAGATTATTTAAGAAGCATCAGTAGCCTGTAAAACGATCATTGTATATTCTTTGTCTAGAAAAATCAAATGAATTAGATAGAAAGAACAAAAAAAAAGAGTTTGAGACAAACCAGGTGCAACGAGAATTTCATGTTTTTTTGTTCGCATTCGAAAGAAAACTAGTTCATTGGTTGGATCAATATCACGAATTGCTGACCGAGCTTTATCTGATAAAGATTTTATCAATGCTGCATATTGTTGAGTTAATGTACTATCGAGACTTGATCGAATTGGTATGCCTAAATGACAGAGAAGAAAAACAAAGCGTTTCATTCAATAGAAATGCTTCATATCATTTTTTCCATGAAAGAAGAAAATAATTCACAGGATGTGTTTTCATTGTTCGGATCGAACATCAATCATCATTCGAAAGAAATAACAATAAGAGAAAGACTAGCTTTGACACGAACATCCAATCATGGCTCATGCAAATCTTACCATCATTATTTATAATTAAAAAACCTTGAACACCCTTATGTTCTTGGATACGTTTCAGTGTGTCATCGACTTCAGCCTGAAAATCAAATCAAATCAAATTCAAATTCAAATCTTCAATTTGTCCAATACACACTTGAGACATGTTTCAAACCGATTCCTCAAAGAATCTAAAATAAATTGCACAAATATGTGTACTTCTTTCTTTTTTCTGGGGATAAATTTCGATAGGTCGATATGTCAAAGGGATATTTGTAACCAGCTGGCGCTCATATATTCTTCATATGTAAACTTCATCGACTAATGGAAACTATGGATACTCTTCAGAAACGAAATAGTAGCGACATTGATATGCGAACATCAGCAAGGAGGATTCGGGAGCGTAAGCATGGTAAAATGTCGACCAATCAACATGAACGATCAGTTCGACAGTGATTTAGTCGAGAAATATGTTTGACGATCAGGATGATACGCCGGTTAGTTTAACAATTAATAAAGCTTATGCTAATAAATATCAAAATTGGAGAGAAAAAGAAGAGAAACAGAAACGTATGAATTCATTTGATGGTGTTAATTTGGTGAATTCTGTTGTCTTTTATCGATTTTAGTGATTGCAAGGTATGGAAGTGATGTTGAAGATGATTCAGACGAAGAATCTGAAGATGAAAATGGCGAAGTATGTTTTCGATGATATCTTAGTTGATAAATTGTTCCAGGAAAACGTTTTAGGAATGGACAGAAGACGTGGAAAAGGAGTTTCTCCGTTGTTATTCGATTCTGAAGAAACGTGATCCGAAAATTTATGATTCTAAAACGAAGTTTTTCGAAACTTCATCATCGTCAGATAAACCCGAAGAGAAATCAACGACAAAGCCGAAGAAAGAAAAGAAAATGAACCTCAAGGATGCCGAAATTCAATATGCATTAGCAGAAGCAAAAAATAATGGAGCAGAAGATGACAATGATATCAGTCGCATTCGGTTAGTAACCAAACGATACTTATCCATTCGTTTATGCATTGTTTTTTTCTTACGTATTTAGAACTAATGGAAAACAATCGATTATAGAAGAGCAAGAAGAAATCAAACGAAGGTAAATCTATATGGTTTTGTTTTTTCATATGCAATGATTATCATTTAGTATTAAAAAAGTTCTTTCAACGACGGATGATGACGATGGATTATTTAGCAAGAAAGTCAAATCTGAAACAGAGAAGGTTAGTGATGCGTGTTGTTCGGTATTGGAAATGCTTCATTCGAAAACGATTTCTCTAGACAAAAGAAGATGAGGAGTACATCGAATGGTTAAAAGGACAGAAGAAAGAATTACCTGATTCAACTATCAAATCTGATCTGGTAAGAAATAGATATTCAGTTCGTTTCATTGATTGAATTGACTATGCAGGAATATTTGCATGAGTATTGGAATGATCCATCATTATCTGAGCGTGATCGATTCTTACGGGACTTTATTCTGAATAAAAAGCATCTACGTCATGCTGATGACGATGAAGATGATGAAACGAAGTAAGAATTTTTGTTTTGATCGATTGCATTGCTTGATTTGTATTTAGCATACCGTCGTACGATGAAATCATCAATCAAAATGAAGATGAGGATGAAGAATTCGAAAAAGCTGAAGAGTTCGAACGAAAGTATAATTTTCGTTATCAAGAACCCGATGCTGAATTCGTACGTGAAGAGAAACTTTTGAATCGGATGATTTTGAAGATGTGTTTTAGTTGAAACGTTATCCGCGAACGATCGATGATAGTGTTCGACGAAAAGATGATCGAAGGAAGTTGAAACGTCAGGAGAAAAAACAACGAAAGGAACTGGAGCGTAAACAAAAATCCGAAGAAATTAAACGTTTGAAAAACTTGAAGAAAAAGGAAATTTTGGATAAAATGAACCGGTTGAAAGCCGTCGCTGGCGATGATGGTCTACCATTGAATATCGATGATCTCAATGCGGATTTCGATCCGAAAGAGTACGATCGGCGAATGCAAGTAAGTCATCAAGATTTTCTTTTCACAGAATACATTTCTAATTCGAGTGTTTCCAAGGAATTGTTTGATGATAATTATTATGCGAAAGAGATCAATGAAGATGAACAATCGGAGATATCCGACGAAGAACTTCAAGGTAATGAAATGTTCTTGTTATACCATGAAATTCCATCGTTTTCTTTCAGTGGAGAATTGGGATCGAACAGATGAACTCGTTACTTCTAAACCTGTGCAATCAAATAATCAAACAGTAGAAGTAGACCAACAAGCACAAACAAAGAAATCGAAGAAAAAATCGAAACTATATCAAGCAATTTCTCAATCGAAGCCAACATTTGATCCAAGTAAATATCTTATCTTTCATCAAGGGATCATGTTTTTCTCTTGTCTGTTTCTTAGAAGAGAAATCGTTCGAACAGTACTTTGATGAATATTACAAACTTGATTGTGAAGATTTCATTGGTGATACGCCTGTTCGATTTCAATACCGATCAGTTGAACCGAATGATTTTGGTTTGACTATTGAAGAAGTAAACGGAACGATTATTGAATGAAATGGAGAGAAAAAGAGAGTTTATTTTTAGATTCTTGCGGCTGATGATCGAGAACTGAATGCTTGGTGTTCACTAAAGAAAACTTCACAATATCGAGCAAAAGACGAAGAAATTCGAGATCGACATGTTTATAAAAACAAGGCGAAAAACTTAGAAAAGAAGAAAAAGATTTTAAGCAGTGTTTATCACGAAAAAGATGAAGAAAATGAAAGGTAAGCAAAACTATTTTTTTCCTCACTGTTCGAGAGAAAACAATCGAAAATCAGTACGATTATTTCCATTTCTAAAATACACATTCATATCATAATGAGACGCTTTACATGTGAAGAAGAAAAAAACAAACGAACGTTAATTGATAAATTATAGACACATTATGATTCGCTTCATTTCCTTAGGAAATATATCGATTCATTTATAATATGATGGTGCTTTTTTCACAGTTTATCAAAAACAATAAAGAAATGTGCCTTGAGCACTGAAATAATTGTACAAAGTCCAGAAAATTGTTTTTTTTTTCTTGTTTCATACGTTGTCTTTGCACTCATTCATCGAGGAATGATGACGATGAACTGGTTGATAAGCAAATGATTCGTCCGATGAAGCTTTCGATGAACGTGATAGACGCCCAAAGAAACCCGGCGATTTGTCGATTATTGGTGGATTTTGTTTCGGACTGAGGATTTTCAGATTTCTCTTCTTCTTTCGATGTTTTTCGAGTTTAGTCGCATCAAAATCAAAACGATTTTTCATTAGAATGACGACTCCGGGTTGTCCATATACTTCAACCATTGTAAAATTAGCACTTTCGTCTATGGGAGTTCCTGCTGAGATATTTTCCAATGAGTCTCCTCGGCCGCTATCATCGGTTAGTTGTTGCTGCAGTGAGTGAGGATGAGAGCGTAAAAGATTGACCAGCGAATGTGTTGAGCGTGTGTCAAAGACTGGCAATCGTTGATCATTTGTTTCGTTCCGCAAATTAGAAGGCGGGGGGCAAAAATACAGGCCAGGACGACGATTATCACGTTGGTCATGTAAAGAACGACACTGCCCGTCAGAATTAACAAATTTATCGCCGGAATTATTCGATGCATGAACACTAGTAGGTTGAGATCGTGTCGATGTAATCGTTTTCTTTGACTCTTCGCTATCTGTTTTCGAAACTGGAAAAATGTTCTCTTCATTATCGAACACATCGTCTATATCAAAAATCGAAAAACTATTAATAAGAGAGAAAACAAACTTATTGAATTCTATCCAACCTACCTGAATCGTATGATGCATCTCCATCATCCAATCCCTTGATGATACTCGTAAGACGTATTTGGTCGTGTTTATCCTCAGCCATTGCGCACCTTTTCGTTGAGAGAATAGATTCTTTGACAATGAAAAATAGTTTTACTAGAATTTTTTCGTGGGAAAGAAATCGTTGACTGAGTAAATATACCGAGTTGCAAATGAAAGAAAATGTCACCGAATAAAAAGTACTTTTTTTACCTGTATGTCTACCTTTCTTTCTTATTGACTCATAACTAGACACACAATTTCTCCAACATACTACAATAAGAAAATTGCCCAATATTTTTTTCATGTTTCTCTTTATTTGCTTTTCTTCTTCGTTTAGTCACCATTCGGAAGAACAGCAAAACAAGTCTAACGCACCGCGCTCTGATGAGAAAACATGTCTGCCATCATCGAGTGAAACGACAGCAACAACGGTGACAACAACATCAGAAGTAACATCGACGAAGAAAAAGAAACGAAAAGAAAAACATTTATCGAACGATCAGCGATTGTTAACTGATATGTCTGATGAACGTTTGCAAGTTTATGGTTTGAATCCAAAGCGATTCAAAAATTTTGTTCGTTTCAATAAAGATAAAAAATAAATAAAAATAAACTTTCCGATAAAATAATCGAACCTTATGGAAGATATTTAGTCATTCTTAAGCAACTTGTAATTCCCACACAGAATTTCATCGTTTCGCTGTTAAGAATGTCTTCCTATCAGCTGATGACATCTGCATTCGGAAATTTCTTTCTATTTATCCAAGTAGACAAACCAATGGGAATATTTCCGTCCTGTAGAGGCTAAACCGGTGTTTCTCATTGGTCGAAAATGTCAAACCAATACATTAAGTACTGTAAGGGCGAGTGCAGCGAAGGAATAAATACAGAACAGAGCAATTCATTTCAGTTGAATTTCGCATAACATCCATATAGTCTAGTCTCTTGTTTGTAGATCAATCATTTATCTTCTCTTGTCTTGAATCATATTGTTTATTGTTTATTATTGCTATTCCTCTCGATCTGTGTGTAATATGTACATATTAGAAAAGAAAAACGAATGAAGGACATCGCTGTATACATATAATTTTTTTGTTTATTATTATTATTATTATCATTAATCAAATATGAACGTTCAACACGAATATTCGATTTAATCATCAGTTTTCCCTTTCCTTATACGTTCTGTTCATTTTTGCGCAATTTGTTGAAATATTAAAAAAATTCGGTTCAATGCAAAGTGATTCGTCGTCGCTTGACACGCTCAAAAACAGTCTGTTGAGCGCCGTCGATGCTGATTATAATGTAAAAATTTATCTCGAACTTTTCACTTTTGTTTCTCCACCACCGATTTCTTTAGGTAACTAATGCAGAAAAAGTATTGGATATTATTTCACAACTAGAGAAAATTGCAATAACAAGAGATCAATTACAAGTTTGTTTTTTTCATCTTACATTGGAATTCGTGATGGACATTCTCTTTCATTTGTTTCTAGGCAACTCGTCTTGGCCGAGAAATCAACACTATTAGACAGAAAATCGATGCACGAAAGAAAAGTGCTCAACAAACGGGAGATAATCCTCAATCGATCATTGAAATTGCTCAACGAGCGAAGAAACTTCTACGGTCTTGGCAAGGTTTACTTAATACAGCACAAACTGATAGTAATCACTCGTCACCATCTGTTCCACCGGTATCAGTCCCTTCGGTAGCGCCGGTCAATGGTGAAAGTCACGAACCGTCATCACCACCATCGAAGCCACCTCGTTCTCGTATAATATTAAAAGTGAAAATCAATCCATCAATAGCAGCAAATAGTAACAATGATAATAATAATATTACTAAACCCAAACGAAAACATGATGAAGAAATCAATGGTCTATCTGGCAAACGACGTAAGACTCAAGTTGAAACACCGATTACACCACCACCACCTATTTCTCCTGTGCCAATCATTGATCCCAGTTTACCAAGGCTTAAAACTACTCAGCAACTTCTCATGGAAATGCAACTGAATCAACCTGATGTTCTTTCGACTCAAACACCAACTGTGAACGCTATTTTACAGCATCAAATCGTAGATGAAAGCTTACATGACACGGGAAAAGTTGATTATTCAGCTTTACATCATGGAAGAGACACAGCTACTTCGAATGCCAAGTAATTAGGAGAATATCTATGTATAATTGTCGGATGGCGTTCAGTGTTAGGGACGAATGCTAGAGAGCTGTGTGTAGAAGGATTACAGGGCCGTGACTTCGAGCGTTACATATTTCTGTTGAACATTAAGTGTTCATTTCGAGCACGAGCTGTCTAGGAAATACCGCTCGTATTTGCTTTCGTTTGTATCGTATGAATTATCCTGTATTCTATAAGTTCACTTGTTTACTGACAATGTGATTGAGAGCTTCATTTCTGTCGAGAGGCTGTAATCGCTAACTTATAAATAACTTTTGCTGTTCTGATTTCGGCTTTGCACAATTATTGTGCAGAGGAAAAGGTCATAATGCCCACATGCTCGAACTGTACGATATTCTATTGATATCGTGACGATGAAAATAGCATACTGAGCCATCTGACACTAAAGTTTCAAGATCATAGCGATAACTTTACACATTTCGAACAGATGCAAAAGCAGATTCACTAAAAGTTCTTTGCTTTAGTACTAGTTATCAAAAGCAATTACCATCGTCCACCCTTCCAAATGTTATATCTCCTACTAACTCCACATTGTCAACCGGTTCATCATCTTCAAAACGTTCTGGCCTTGTGCGCCGTCCATCATCCAATTTACTTACAGCGAATACGAATTGGGAAAATGGTAGTAGTGCTGGTGGTTCTCCAATATCTCCATCTTCATCGTCATCTTCATCCATTGGTAGTGCGACGTCGTGGCCTATTTCTACAAACATTCCAGACCCGCCATCATCAATACCTGTCATTCCAAAAAAGAAACGTCGAAGAAAACCAACAGATCAGCAAGAACCACTAGCAGCAATAACAGCACAACAACAGCCTCCTCAAAAACAAATCGATTCATCTACTATCGAACAGTCAACCCCATTATCTCCTGATCTAACCACCATATGTTCAGCTTATGATACAGTTGCTGATCTTGTTGAAGCTCATCGTCAACGCATGCTCGAAGAACATGATGCACGAGAATTAGAAGCAAGACCTGATCTACTTCTGGTTCCAGTCGATCAACTTGCTTTTGTTTACGAACGAGAAAGGACTAAAGAATTAACTCTAACATCAGGCTCAACGTCAACATCTCTGACAAAGGTTGATACAATTAATCAACCATATGGTCTGGTTGCTTTACCATTTATTGATTGTCCACTTGAATTTGATCTCGTACTGGATGAATTAATCGTACAACAGCCGACGATAGACACATAGATGTTCTTTTTGTTCTCCCTTTCTCTTTCTTTCCTTCCTTCTTTCTTTTTTCATACACACTCTCTGTCTCTGTCTCGTTTCAAAACTTACAAAAAAAAAACAAACAAACAAAAAAAGGTGTTTCAACAACAGTTTCTCTCTATCTTCTTCTTCTTCTTCTGTTCCTTCTCTTGTACGCGTGTGCGTGTTTGTTTGTTTATTTATTTTTTAAAAAAACAAAGAAGTTAATTTCTTGGAAAAAGCCTCACATTTTTAAACATATTCACACGGAAGAAGTCATTCGAGTAAATTTTCATAACAAAAACATCTGGCTGATTCTTGAGTGGGAATTATTAAAATATTCGCTGGTAAAATTTGCTTTTCATCATCGAAATCAGTAGTCGATGACACATGGAAATGAATCAATCGTTGACGATGATGATGTTTCCGAAAATATCTGATCATCGATGATAGGGAAAGTTGTTGAGTGATGAAACTAGACAAACCACAATGAAAGATAGGTTACCATGCGATGTTCACTTACAAGAGACACAAGATGCGTAATTTCTGGCAGAATTTGAAAATATTTGTTAATTGATTCACATTGATATCGATCAACTCCAATGAGCGTAGAGATGAAGCCAAGCGAAAAGAACAGTTTTGAAGGAGTGTACTATTTAGACTACATGTTTTCAATTTCACCGGGATGCGCAGTGGCTCATCATTCTGATTCGTTGATTGAAGTACTGAAAATTGAGAAATGAACTTTGTAAGGAAACATTTGACCACGAGCTCATTACTCTCTAATGAAGTTAAGTCTAAATAATGAAGTGTTTCAAGTTGATCAAGAAATGTCGTTAAAACAGCTCGATCACATGTTGATTGACGTACTACAATAGTCTAGAATCGAATAGTAAAGTTTCATTTTGTTATCTTTCTTAATTGAACATTTACCTTCAAATATTGTTTATCGATAGCAGACAGAAGAAAATGAATGTTGACACAGTTCTCAAACCATATTGACCGAAGACGATTAATAGCATAATCTTAGAACAAGAGAAAAGGGAGTGATGAACATAAGTCTTTTGTAAGCGTTTCACTTGACATACTATTTTCGGGAAAAGATTGAATTAGGTAGAGATTATGCAGAGTAAGTGATTTCAAGCTAAAACGAGAAAAAGCTGATTTTTGTATATGATTAATGAAAAGAGTGTCCGTTTCCACAATCGACTCCATTAAAGAATTATCGGAATATGAACAATCTTATTCTGCTACATTTTATTTTATACAATATGCAAATTTACAGGCGTTGCCCGTGCAGGAAAAACAAATATGTATAACAATTTTACTATGACAAGTGCTTGGCACATGAGAGCTATGTAATAGTCAATGGGAGAAGTTTGACCAAACGGCGTTAATGTGAGACCACGTCTCTGTGCATCTCGCAAATGGTGTGTTGACCAGCCGAGCAAGAAAACGATGGAATAATAGAGTCGATGAGGCTTCCAAAAGAGATATTCACAGACGCCAACAATAAAAGTTACTATTAATAACAAAAGACTGTTATGAAGGAAAGGTCGACCTCGTGGTTGATCGTATAATGCTCGGTGCAATAAGAACGAACGAACTTCGATAAAATGGTCAACGTCAACGAATGAACCCGCGATAAAAGCAATGATCATTAATGGACGATGAGACCAACCGAACACGAAACATGTTGACACAACACTGATCAAACCATGAGTAAAGTTATCTGTTATGGCACGAGCATAAATATTTGAAATAACATAGAATGACCATGGTCGACCAAAACACAGACAATCACCCAGTAGACTAACGAAACATAGGAGTACTAGAGTCAATCCATCGATTAAGAGAATACGTTGAGATAGAAACATTTTACTATCTGGAAAGAAAATAGAATTGATTGCACAAGATCGTGCATGTTAATAACTGAATGGAGAGAATGAAATATATGAATTTAATATTCATCGGAATAGATCAAGATGTTACATATTCCGATAATTTGGAAATGAAATGACTTTCTACATTGTAAAAAATGAGTACGTACTTTTTCAACTTGAGCAGTAGGTCTACAATATCACGAATTGTATTGATTAACATTACAGCGAATGAATCCAATTGGATAATATTATGTACAAAAGATATCTTCAAGTGTTTTAAACGTTCTAATTTGAAAAGAAAAATAGGCGATGGTTCATGTGACAAACATTCGTAGGAGAATTGCAATCGACGTATTCGATTCTTCAACAGATATTCTAGTTGGAGTTGATCGAATGATCGAAGCGTTTCGAAATGAACTGATGCACAACGTAAATACGACTGTTTTTTTAGTTGTTCATCATCGTCATCATGGGCTTTCAACAAGTGACGTTTGCGTCGTTTACTCGTAGAATTAATAATAGGCTGTGGTTTCAAATAAACCGTACAATGCGAGTAAATATTCGATTTTGTGAACAATTCAATATTTGCTGAACGCACGTGCCGAAGAAGATTAGTTGGTATCGAATAATTAGCACATTGATCAATATCAAATATGACCGATGACCAAAAATATGTATGTTGATTGATACACGAACAAAATAAACGTGAAACACGACGGACAGAGAGTAAGTCATTGACGTGCAGATATGAGAAAATATGTACCCAAATTTCCGTGGGCAGTTGAGGTAATAAACACCGATTTTTCCATTCGAGATAACGTTCACGAGCGGTTGACATGACTAGATTTAGGTGATAAGTTTTAGTCTAAAATAGAGAAACGATCGGTGTTTTGCAATGATAGATGTCATTGAGATAGTCGATCTCGATAGCAACACTTTAAAAAAACTGTCCCCATGACGATTATCGTTCCTTTCTTTTTCATGTATTTACTCCTCTCCTATGAATCATTCCTGTGCTATACGAACAGGTAAGAAGAAATACTCATGGTTTGCACAATCAAGGACAAAAACAACAACATAAACATAAAAGAACGGTAGTAGAATCACTTATATAGACTTTTCATAGTATACAGTGGCAGAACTTTTCGGATACATACGATGGCAAGTGCTTTGCATATCGACAAACTAGAACAACCTCAACTAGCGAAACATGATTCAAGTGTACTCGGTTAGTAAACGATCTACTTTTAGCTCTCATTCCGTATGAAAACAAACGCTAAATCTAGATCTGGCTTTTGCGATGGATTGTACGGGTTCAATGGGTAGTTATATTGAAAGCGCGACGCAGAATATTCGCGCCATTGTAGAAGAGATTGTGACTAGTGAAAAAAGTGATGTTCATCTGGCACTGGTTGAATATCGTGATCACCCTCCACAAGTCCGTTTTCGACACTTTCGACAATTGGCATTCGATGTTTCGAATGTTTACCTTTCTAGGATACAACATTTGTGACGCGTGTACATGATTTTACGAGTAAAGTCAAAGAAATGAAGGGTTGGCTCGAACAATGCAATGCACAGGGTGGTGGTGACACACCAGAGGCAGTGGCAGATGCTCTTCATGATGTTTTGAAGTTATCGTGGCGTCCTGAGGCAACAAAAATTTGTGTACTTATATCAGATGCCCCACCACATGGACTCGATCCTAGCTGTGGTGACGGCTTCCCCGATGGAGATCCTTCTGGTGTTGATCCGGTGAAAACTGTACGAGAAATGGCGGAAAAACAAATTACTCTATATGTCGTTGGAGTTGAACCATCTATCGGTTAGTTGACATCCTAGAACGGAATTGTTTTCTCTCTGAACGTTCGAAAATTTTTTTCTTTTACTAGTCCCTTATCGCGATTTTTTTATGTCTATTGCTTATATCACTGGCGGTCAATATGTTCCTATGGTCAATGCAAAACTACTTGCACAAGTCATCATCGGCGGTGTACGAGAGGAAATATCCTTAGAAAGGTTAATGCAAGATGCTCAAGAGGATATTAATCGCGAGATGAAACAAGCAGAAGAAGAGGGTGCTGACGAACAGGAAATAACTAAAAGAGTGAATCGCCTTCTATTGCAGAGAAATGCTCGTGTCAATCAATTAGACAATTTAGGTGGAGCAACATCAGCAGTTGCCAGAGAAACCTATTCAAAATGTGCTGATATGAGAGAATTACGAAATCAATATAAGGTAGAAGCGCCACCAGAACCACCAGCCTTCCGTTCACGTCGATCACGAGCAGCTTATGTACGTGAACATCGAGCCGAAGATGATGATGAGTTCAGTCATGGTATCATAGCAACATCATCAGCAACCGTAGTGCCAGAAGGTTCAGCCCCTCCAGGTGAAGTACCGCTAGCATCGACCGCACCTACAAGTTATGATTTACGAGAAAACGAAGAAGTCAGTATGGCACAAACAGAACGTATTGTTCGACGCATGCGTAATAAAAAAGATTATGCATAAACCTTCCTTTTACACAAACGCGCATATACAAGCGTTTTTTCTCCGATATGATACGAGTAAATACAATATTTGAACAAAAACGTATATTTGATTTTTCTGAGTTTAATAATAAAGTCTAAAACAATCTTAAAGTTCGCTTTTCCCAAGAATACTTAACGAATGTACGGTGCCATTATCAGTAATATATTTAAACCATTTCAATGGTTCACTACCACGTAATTGATTTCGTGTACTACATTCCACGGTCTGCTCATATGTCAACCACATGGCACCATAGCTGCATAGAAAATAAGACTATCGGTAAAAGAAAAGTGTCTTTTGGATCTCAGTCGACTGACCTTTCGTAATCCGGTATAGTTTTGGGATCACAGTCTTGTTCATCGGCAGGTTCAGCAAAAAAGATCACGCGCAGACGATTCATATTTGCTCGTGGTGAGAATTCGATTTTCAAGACGCCGGTAATCTTTATTCGCACACCAGCTTCTTCTAATGTTTCACGCTCTGCAGCTTTATCCAACTGTTCTCCGACTTCGACTCGCCCACCCGGTAGCCAGAAGCCCATCGATCCGGATTCTTGAACAACAAGGAAACGATTATCGCTTTTACGCTGACATACCACCAATGCAAATGCATACAAAGGCACCGCCGACGGCATTTGTTGGGTTTCGTCCATATGTTCCTCGTGCAAATGTACTGCATAACTGCGCGTGGCTCGCTGACATATATCACATTTAATTGATAATTCCGTTTCATTAGTATGGTAGAGAGGAACATGAGTATACAGTTGAGGAAACGATAAGGATGACCATTTACAAAATGGACATGAGTATGAAGGCTTTGGACTTGGTTGAGCTAAAGGTAGTAGTTGAGTTAAAACATGACGAACTTGCGTAATAAATTCAGTTATCATATTTACACCAAGTTCAGCAAAATACCAACTAAAAGAAAAAGGTAAGTTAAACAAAATGCTCACAACGTCCGAATGAATTTACCGAAGGTTTGGATCGGCACAAACTTTATGTGAATGGAGAATGATAAAGGTACGCTTATCTTGCCGGCGAATAGCTTCAATCAGAGGTTGACCTGAAGATTGCTCAGTCATGCCTAGTTTCGTAATGACAATTGTTGGTAATGATGTTTTTGATTCAGTATGTATGACTGCATCTAGTGCCTTCGTGAATAGATGAAGTCGAAATTGAGTTGGAAATTCTGTCTTGAATAGGTTTTGCAACTCAGAATATTCGGTATCAGATTCTGTGGGTGACCACAGTATGACAACATCGAACAATGCTGATGCCATCTAAAATAGAAAACAACGGATTACTATCGTGCAAACACAAAGTTAAAAGCCAGCTATGATAAACGACGAATTTGACCAATTTCTCTCGTATTGTGCAATACTACTTTCATGGAAGTACGAAAAGAGTAGTTATTCGCTTTCGGCATATGAATCATCAATAGAAAAAAGTTCGGTCGTATCAATATAAGCTAATATAAATGCCATCCGACGTGCATCTATATTTTCTTTTAGGGATATCTACGTAATCACAAGTTTGACAGTTGAAATGGGTTTAAAGAAACAGACAAGAAGACATTTGTTGATTCATTGATTCGAATTAGATTTCGATCGATGATCGTTTATTTATATACACAATTGCTCAGAATGGACGTGCTATACAAACACAGAAAAAAGGAAAAAAAGGACGAATGATTTGCAAAATTAAGTGAGCACCGGAGGTGTGTTATGATCAGAAGAATTTGTATTTGTTGCCAGTTTGACACGTTTCTGTTGTCGCAATCGATAAATATTCATGGTTGAACGTTCACCAGCTGTTGATTGTGATGATAATTCTTCATCATCACTATCACCGAGGCCCGTTTTTCGACTCTGAGAATTGTTCACAGTATTGGACCCATCAAGATTACGAATCATTTCACCTTGTACGCCAATACGTATTGGATCAAAGTCTTAATTAGGATGAAAGAGAAAAGATTTTTATGACACTTCGCACAAAACAAAATTTTCTACATACTATCTGGAATACTCAGACGACTCATACGTTCCATAAGTTCATCGACAATAACAAATGGACCCTAGCACAGAGCAACAGTATTCTAATTGTGATTGACGTACTCAGCGAACAAAGCTTACTTCGAAATTTCGCGATGGTGGAAGAACTTTAACTAAATAAAGCGCTGTGTCAGGCAGAGGAAATACTCCACCAGGTGTTGAATGGCTACCAGGCAATGGATTTCGTGTTGGTCGATATGGCATCATATGTTTAATATCAGGCCGAGGTAAAACTGCACGTCGATCACGTGCTGCTCGTTCCAACGAACGCATATTATTCATAGTTGAACCATTATTGAGCAACGTTGAGTTTGTAGCTGACAGATTCGCTTGTGAAGTATCTTTATAACCAAGAAATTTCAATTCATCGGTTGAACATGGTAACAAATTCAAGAATTTATATCGATCAATGAGTAATAAAGTTTCTTGACCTTCTAATTCGTTTAGATCTGCATGTAGTGCTGCACGCCGTTTTTCTACCTTTTTGATCGATTGTAAATCTCCCACTTGAGATTCGAATTTCAAAAATTCATGCCATATAACTGGTTGTGATTGCTTGGCAGTTGGATTGTCGGGTGATAAAACACGTTCGAATAAAACACGCGCATTATGGTCTTCATTTAAATGTGTCATGTAATCAATGTAAGCTAAGATATAATCAATATTCTGACTGTACTTTTTCAAACCAAGATTAAATATATTGAACGCGATATTATTGTCCTTAGAACAATGATATTCCATCAAGGCAGCAGCAACATAAACTTGATGATTCGTACGTGCATCGTCACGTGCACGTTTGAAAACGGCACGTGCACTTTTGATTCCTTCGGCACGTCGCTCGAAACGCATGGCTTGAATATAGGCTAATGTTGGATCTTTTAAATTCGCTTCGTTGACATCCAATAAGCGATTATAAATGGCCCGTGCTTTATCAACATTCAATCGGTGCTCCTCGAAATCAGCATAGGCAAAATGAATGAGCATATTCGAGCGCATATACGTTTGTATTGCGCGTTCGTATAAAGTTGCTGCTTCATCAAGGAAACGTTTAGCTAACAGAGCATCGCCTCGTTCGGAATATGTACGAGAAACTTGTTCTAAATATGCACATACTTCATACCAAAGATCAGCATGATAACCAAGACAAAGTAAACATTGCTCATACGCAAGGACGACTCGACGAGTTAAAAGTAGCAGATCTTCTGTCTTCAATGGATTCGATTTTTCCCATGCGATCAATTTTCTCCAAGCTGCTAATTGTTTGAGCTCTTCCGACGATTGCGGCGATGTTGGCGGTACGCATGGAACATTACGATCAATTGTACGCACTAGCGTTTCGAAGTCCTTGGAAACACGTTTGGCATTCGTATAATCACGTGAACGTTCATCAATAATCTTCTTTGCTAATGTTGAATTGACGCTCTGAAAATATTATTGAATGAACGAAAAAATGTTTTTCGAAGTTAGGACTAACTTACCATTTCATATGCACAATAATCTTTCCATAATAATTCAATACTCGTCATCGGAGTCATGATACCCTTCTGATAAACTTTACGAATAGCTGTTATCTTTTGATTTTCAGCAAATGAACCAACTGCTTCCCTTTGAAATAGGAAACAATAGAAGGTACATATGTGATGATCATCGATCGAGAACATTTTATATTTAAACGAACAGAGAAAGAGTAAATCGTCTAATTTTTGAGATACTTACACTTGTTTCTGAAAAGCGATGTAATCATTCCAAATTGTGTATGAATACACATCCATTCCCACTTTCTCCAAAGCAAATTCATACGCTTGTGCCATTTTTTCTCTGAATAGACAAATATAGTCACAACATTTCATCTTCTTCTCCTCAAAAACAAACATTCTCATCAATCTTTTCTTTAGACAAGCATCAGTGTAATAATCACAGCAGATGATGAAGAAGCAGAGTGAAAAAATGATCGGCAGATGTATCGTTTTATTTAATGTATAAAAACATATCAAAATCGTAAAAATGCATACTCTCTCTCTCTCTTTCTATCTATGATCAGATCTAAATAAAAACCATTGAAAATAGAAAGCAAGTCCAACCTGTATGATGGCAGTTTGCCTTTGGTATCACGAACGTAATTCAAATAACACTTCCACAGGTCAATATTCAATACTTTAATCAAACATCGTTGAAACAGCTAGAAAATATGCATATATATATCGAGTCATACTCGTTATACCAGACGGACATGTTTACCTTCTCGACTTTTTCATAATTTCGTCCTTTGATCTGAAAAAATTTGAGTTCGATGTCGTTTCGAATAGTAAACATCGATATTTACCTCAGATTCGATATAAATCTTCCAGAATTTACCACAGGTTGGGAATTGAGTGATTAATGATTCGTAGAAATCACGTGAATCGCCTATTTTCTTTTCCTAGATAACAAAAAATTTTCGAACGAATATCTTTCATCGCCGACAAACTTGAGCATCTTGAATCAGTAGTGCCCATGCATCAAGCATATACTTATTTTCATTGACCATGCGTTTAGCATGTTGGATCTTTTCGCTTCGCGTCAAATCCTAAACGAAAACTAAACATAACACGAAAAAATCAAATAGAATTCGCCTACGTCTCGAAGATAGATACTCATTTGAGATTGAATAAATCTAAAAGAAATAGTCAAATCGAATGTTGTCAGTTTCGACGAAAGAGAAGAGTTGATTTTATTTGTACAGATGACAGAAAAATATTTAGCGAAATAAGGAGCTAGTTTGCGTTTTGTGTTGAACTAATTAAGCATTGACCGGCGAACAGAAAGTAGAGCTTGAAGAAAGAAATAACCAATAATGCACGTGTAGACTATGCGATCACGAAAATCGCGTCGCGCGAATGTTCTTTCGATTTGATTTATGCGATTTTGTAACAGTTGAAGTTTATTGAGAACACTTTTGTCATCAATAGTCGTCGCCGGTTCAACATGCCATCTGAAAGAATGTTTATCATCACAAGTGAATTCTCTCGTATCGGCCATCCAACTTACGACTCAGCTAATCTCATTGGTTGGTTTTGATCATTGGATACTTCAATCGGTGAATAATCATCATCACTCATCGGTGGCTGACTAGTTGTATCTAATGAATGGTTGGAGTCATTGTTTGGAGAGAAATCTGACCCATTTGACAAGCCAATTGTCGTATCAGTATTGCCTGTAAGCGCAAGCGATAGATTTAGTCGAAAAATGATCAGTTTCATTTCTTACCAAGTCGAATACTATTTGGTACTTCCATGCGCACCGGTAACTGACCGTCGTCTTGATGGAGACGAGGCATTGCTGATCGATTTGGGCCTACTGTGATCGAATCCGGCACGTGCATCTGGTAACCTAAGAGAAAAATTGACCGAGTAGAGGAGATTTTCGATGAACTAGGTCTTTACTCATTTTTGTTATATGATTGAGATCGACTTTTTTTCGAACTAGGTCATCCGGATCTTCAGCCGAATGATTCATGGTAATTATTCGGTATCTAAAATATCTTTTCATATGTAGATTCGACGACAAGGAAGAAAGAAGAATGAATACGCATTACGAAAATGACACGCAGTCTATTCACGAAAAAAAAAATACGAAAATTCAGATGTGTATTATTCGTCATTAGGAATTATTTGTTGGTTGCTTGAAAATAAAAACCGATTCCGCTGACCAATGAAGGTTACATGATTTGTAAACTAAAACAAATCAAATAAATTCATCGAAGAAGAATCAATTCTATCTCGTACCTAATGTCCAAATATAAGGGACAAAGAAATCTTCCGGTTGTTCTTCCTCAACGTATTTAAATTTCAAATCAGGAAATTTCTAAAGAAAATTCCAATGAATGTTGTCAAACGAGATGATCGGACAGTACTTTCAATCGATCTGGTGGAAACTGTTTTGCATTCGATTCAATGATCTCTTTAACATATTCAGCTGATCGTTGTGCTGATTGATCGACTTTTTCCGCAAAATAGACAATAACTGTATCAATGTTCTGTAAAATATCTTGGAAATTTGGATGCGTCCGATAGTTATCAAATATATCTCGATTGTAAAGTAATGCGTAGATCAAGTTACTATTCAAACGAAGTGTATGTATCAAACATGAATTGATGATTTCTAAGACCATTCTCATAACATCTTCGATGATACTTAAATCTTGTATGTAGTCATTGAGAATGTCGTCATTCGATGCTAATGTTTGAGGATGATTGGTTAAAGCCGTCGCTGATGCTGTATGTTCTTGTTTGGATTGTTGTTGAATAAGTTCTAAGATTTTGGAATGTTTACGAGCCAGTAAATTGAACAAAGAGATGATTCGTTGAGTGACGTATGTATGTAAATTCTGAAATTGGGATGACATGTTTGCAAGAGCAGCGAGACAGTTTGTATGAAGGTATTTGTCTCGCATACGTGCCATGTTGTATTGAATTGTGCGAAGAACAATGGCAATTAACAGACCGCCAAGGCTTATTTCATTGATGGAACGTTCAGTATACCTGAAAATACTCTCGTCAGTGTTTAGCGTACATATAAGACAAATTTACCAAGCGACTTTCTTTAATTTTATATCATGGATCGTTCTATTGAAATAATCATCTTCAGACAGGATCAATAGGATAATTAGTGACATGTAAATGTGATGGGAATTGCCATCTGTAGTCGTGTAAATCACTCGAAGAATTGGTAAAACCTGTTTTTTTTAAAGTGATGAATTCTTTCCGGTTTTCGCAAATAAAATCTTACTATTTGATCGATATTTGACCGTGATATGACATAAGCTCGAAAATGTTGATTACGATGAAGTAACATGTATAATAATAATGTACTCTGTTCGGTATGTACTGTTTGGCAAAGAACATCATATAAACATCGATAATCAACTGAAAACCACGGTAATGGTTCAGAATCGGGTAGATTTGTTGGTGTATCTAGAGAGTTGAATATTCAAAACAGCTTTTCCATAGAGTTCGTTTACCTTGTGTGTCCGTAAAATGTAATAAAGCTAGTCGATAAGGATTTCGATGAGCATCACTTGTAAAATGATTGCTCAGAATTAAAAGTAGATGAATGCTCTGGTTCGATAGATGTCGATTACGCAGAATATTGGTCGATTCAATGGATGGTGCTACTTCTTCGGCTACATTTGTTGTTGATGTGCTCATTCCAAGTGTCATGACCGACCAAAAACTACCTAATATGGATATAACAATCATGAACACGACATCGATGAATTCGTCACCTACTTGCAACACTTTGACCAATTTTGTACAAACTTCCACTATCTGTAGTTGATTTTGTAGCTGAGTCTGTTGCTAAAAACGCCGGACATTCCGTTTGTTTCATAAAATGTTCCAATAACGTTCGCGTGAATTCTGATATTAATAGTGGACTAAAAGGCAATCTTTTTTTAATATCATTGAAGTTCGCCTTCACTTACTCTAGTCTATGCATGAAAATCGTGTAAATAGCACTAATAAATGCAGCTTCTTTGGCGCACATTTGAATCGCTAAGAGTGAAAGTAATGTATTCAACACTTCCAAATGTAAAGCGTATGAATAGGATGTCACTGGAAGAATGATCGTTGTTCGGAATAACGTATCAATAAATACACCCATCAATGATGTCCGTTCAAGGAGGTTTTCTTGTGGAGTAAAATACAGAGAAAGATTAGGTTCGGAATCGATTTCAATGAAATATTTTGTGATAGAACGAAGGACAAACAAAGCACTGTAGGTTTGCCAAACGAGACTATTACTGAAAAATAGTGATGATCTCATTGAATTCTTCCATTTTTATAAAAGACATACTCTTCGCATTCGTCTCGTAATGTGGTTGCTAAACGAATGAATACTTCGATTAATGTTCCATAGTTATTTGCTCGAGGATTGTTTGATTCAAGTTGTTGAAGATACGTCGCACATTGTTCGTCCAATAGTTTTGATTGTGAACTGAAAGATCGAAGGAAATTTAGTGGAGAACCAACCGAAAGATAGTCAGTCAGTTACTTACGTTGTAAATGGAGATTGGAGACGAAATGACAGAAACTGATTCCAAAATGGATCTGTCGATGTTATTGATTCTTCACTGGCAAAACGAGAAAGATATTCATTGGATTTAAGATCCGATACTGAAGAATACTGTGCACCCATAGCAAACGTTCAAACGTTCTTATTAAAATCCGCCAAAGACGTTTGAAAACATCGTCTGTCAGTCGCGATAGATGGATCACGCATTCTTACCAACATACAAACATCCTTATGGATGAATTATCTCACCAATTAGGTTAGTTCAAGATACCTTGAGAAGAATTTACAAGAGATTTGATGATATAATCAGTTCAAAAATAAAGTTCAAATTCAACATATTTTCTTTATTAAATTTAAGATGTACTTCATATGCAAGTTTCTAGATGTCGCTAGCAGTCCATTTTGCAATACAGACAATAGTTCTGGTAGGAAGATGAATAAGAGGTATTTGCTATTCTATGCAATCATTTCGTGGTTTGTTATGTATTTATGAAATCACGTAAGAGTTTTCGTTGGAATGAAACTAGTAACGGCAATATATTGGTAGAGAATGATGTTCTATCTCCAAATATATACAAATACAACGATTTTAAATGAATCCTTAGATTTTAATTCTCTTTTCATAATTTAAGAACATGTATACTCTGTTTTTTACCTGACAACTTAATAAAACGTTGTTGACAAACGGTTTTTTCTTTTCTCCGCGACTCTACGGCAATAGTATTTGCTTTCCTTGACCTTCCTTTCTTTTTTTCACGAAGTTACCGTTTGAAAAGTAACATTCTAACACTATTATAAAACTTCTATAGCAAATTCAATTACAACCTAAATACCCACTCTGTTGTCACGAAAAAGCACTAAATTCAAAGTGTATGGCTACTACACTAGCAACACAAGTCGATGAACAAGAGCAACAACCAAATTTAGAAACGAATGCTATTCTTTGGCTCGATCCGACGATCGCGTACGCTCCAGAATTTCCACAAATCCAACGACAACTTCGAGAGGTCATCAATTATCTGCGAATTTTCAAACACACCAATGAATGTTTGGAATACCTTCCATCCGTACCGAAACAAGACCAAATCATTCTGATTGTCAGTGGACGATTAGGCCAAGAAATCGTTCCACAAGTTCACAATATGCAACAAATTTCATCTATCTATGTTTATTGTATGGACAAGAAAAAGAACGAAAGCTGGGCTTCGAAATATCCTAAGGTGAGAGATCAGAGCGCATCGGTAAACATAGAAGAAATTTGAGCTTTTCTTCATTGTTGAATGAAACTAACCGTGGCATTGTTTGTAGATAAGACGAATTGTTGTCAATTTGGTTGAGCTTGGAAACATCATTCGTGAAGAACAGTTAACATGGCAGCAGAACAGATTAATTGAATCATTAAAAATCATTACCATACCTACACTTGTTTTTGATCGAGAGCAGCCATTAACTGATTTCTATAGTAGCTTCATTTATTCTCATTTGTTGATCGATTGTCTTCGTCAAACAAATTCTGCTGCGACTGATAAATCCGATCTGCTTTCCCTATGTCAACGGTATTATGCAGGAAATGAAGAAGAACTAAAGATTCTGGAAGAATTCAATGAAAACTATATACCTTCACGTGCACTGTGGTGGTACACAAGGCAATCGTTTCTATATCGTCTATTGAACAAAGCGTTGCGAGATCAAAATCTGGAGTTGCTATTACTCTTTCGATTTTATTTTCATGACATTGAACGACAATTAAAGAAAACAAAATGCTCAGCAGCCATTCGCGTCTTTTTCGGTCAATTGATTTCGATAAAGAAATTAGGAAGTTTAAAAAGAACTATTGGAGGTTTCATTTCGACAAGTTCATTTCTTTGGGCGAGTTCAAAGCAACAAATTCAGTCATATCTATCTCAACTAGACTGTCCAGATGAGTTTCAACGAGTGCTATTCGAAATCGAAGCTGACCCTCATTTGGAAAATATCAAACCATTCAGTAACTTAGCTACTCAAAGTTATTTGCCCCATGAGGAGCGAACACTCTTCATGCCCGGTACAATTTTTCGTTACATCAGTATGCAAATCGATGAGGAACAAAACTGGAATATTCGATTAACCCTCTGTTCTGAAAATAATCAACAATTACGTAGAATGTTCCATCAAGGAGATAATCCACACCCGCTAACTAGTTTTGGGCACTTTTGCTGGCAATCAAGAAGATTTGCGGACGCAGAGAGATATTACCTCCATATGTTGAAAGCTCTACCTGATGATCATCAAGATACTGTTCTCTTTTACAATGCACTTGGAGCTTTATGTAAAGACAAAGGTGATTATGATTCTAGTCTTCAATGGTTCAATAGAGCCCTAGCGATTCAAGTGGAATTCCTTGGAACAGATGACCCCAACATCGCCGATGGTTACCTCAGTTTGGCGGAAAATTATCGAGAGAAAAATGATCCCCAGCAAGCATTCGATTTGATTAATAAAGCGATGGACATTTTTCAAAAAAAATTTGGTGACGAACATCCAAAGATTGCTGCATGCTTCAATCAGATCGGACATGTGCATCGAAGCAGAGAGAAGTTCCTTGAAGCCTTGAACGCGTATGAAACAGCGCATGCAATCTATCAGAAACATGTCCCTCCAATGGATCTTCAACTGGCTGAGTCGTACAAAAATCTTGCTACAGTTCATAAATCTCTCAAAAATATTGATCAAGCATTGGATTACTATCACCTGTCACTTGAGATCTATACAAAAACAGTAATTTCTTCACGATTTGTCATGGGAATGCTATTGAGAAGTATTGCAGATGCATACGACATTAAAGGACAGTACGAACAGGCAAAACTGTATTATCAAAGAGCCGAATGGAGCTTTCAAATTGTACTAGCACCAACAGACGGTTATCTCGTGCAAATTCGTGATGATATTCAACGTGTGAACGATTTGTTACGATAATCTTTTGATTCCTCAGTTCTTTTTGTGTTCGGAGGTTAGATATTTTCAGTTGCTTGCAGAAAATAAAGAACTATATCATTTTACACACCAAACCTCTCGAATATTTTCTTACGAAAAGAACCATGTCTGGTCTATCATGATTTTGTCAAGTTAATGAAAAGAAACATCTATAGAATTTCATGTGAACAAGCATGATTTTCATATTTCAAAGCATAAGTATACTTTGTTGTATCAATCGAGCAAATAATAAGCCTTCGTACGAGATCAGATTTCTTTATTCCGTCTCAGCAAATCGCAATGGTTTTAATGGAAGTTACACAGGCGAGAAGGAGGACAAAAGAATTCATAAAAAACAGCAAAGTAAATGTATGAAACACTTTCAAATTTCTTCACGTGAAGACAGCATTACGATCGATGGCGGCACATACTCTAATACAAGAGAAGAACAATCTTGAATCAATCAGTCTTGTCTGGTTGGACTCATCAGTGAATTCCAGTGAAGATAACGTCAATGCACAACGATTATTTCGTATGATAATGATTTATTTGAAAGCATTTGACAATGTTCAGGACTGTGAACAATATCTGCAAGAAACATCTAGAGATGATCGAATCTTTCTGATTGTCAGCGGTCGATTAGGTCAAGAAATCGTACCAAAAATTCACCATATTCGACAAATTTCTATCATCTATGTCTACTGTATGGACAAGAAAAGAAATGAAGAATGGGCAAAAACGTTTCCTAAAGTAACTTTATATTCGAATGCTGATAACTGAAGGTTTTCTTTTTGTGACTACATAGATCAAAGGAGTTTTTATCAAATTCGAAGGTCTATTCCAACAAATCCAATTGGACCGAACTAAACTCCGCGAAAACGGCATCGATGAGCCCGTCGCATTAGCATTGTCGAATCTAAGCGGTGGCATGGATAGATCTACCAATACGTTGAACAACGATTTTCTCTATTCTCAGTTATTGATCGACTGTCTTATTCGAATGACACCAACTTCATCGGATAAGAACGAATTAATTGAAGTTTGTACTCAAATTTATGCAGATAGTCCGAATGAATTGACTCTTCTCAAAGAATTCCAAGAAACTTATTCATCAAATCGTGCGATATGGTGGTATACACGCGAAACCTTTCTCTATCGTTTACTAAATAAAGCATTACGCACAAAAAATTTTCATTTATTATTTCTGTTTCGGTTCTTTCTTCGCGATGTAAGTCAACAATTAAAATCGAATCAATGTACCACGTCGATTCGTGTCTATCGAGGACAACTCTTGTCTCAAGAAGAACTCGATCAGTTAACAAATTCACTCGGTGAATATCTATCAATCAATTCTTTCTTTTCAACAAGTCTCAATCGACAAAAAGCATTGAGATTCTTAAAAGATGAATCACTTTGCGATGGTGCACAGAAGATTCTCTTCGAAATCGATGCTGATCCCAATGAAAGTCATTCGAAATCATTCGCCAATATCGCTTCATTAAGTTCGTACTCTACTGAACAAGAAATTCTATTCATGTTAGGTTCAGTTTTTCGTGTAATGAACATTAAACAAGATAAGAACGGTTATTGGATCATACAAATGGTATTTTTCAACGATCATAACGAAAATCTACAACGACTCTATGATCATATCAAAGATGAACACACTAACATCAACGAAGAAACAAGCCTCGTCACTTTCGGAACTCTGCTATATAAAATGGGTGAATACGATTTAGCAGAGGAATACTTTTCTCGTTTAATCCACGAACTACCCAACGACGAACAAATTCTTTCGAAATCTTACCACGCACTTGGTGTATTAGCTCTACTAAAAGATGATTACGAGAAGGGCTTGAATTGTCATAAGAAATCGTTGGAGATTTTGAAATTCGATGATCCTTGTTTAGCGACGAGTTATAATTGCATTGGTTGTATCTATCAAAAACAAGGAGATTTTAGGAATGCTCTTGAGTTCTACACGAAAGCATGGGATATTTGGAGAAAGCTATTGGGTGAGGATTATTTTCAGATAGCCGATGTTTTGAATAATATGGGTTGTATTTATGAAAATGAAAAGAATTATTCCAAAGCATTAGATTTTCACCAGAAAGCGTTAGCTATTCGACAAAAATCTCTTCCAAAAGATCATTTAGATCTCGGTGCATCGTACAATAACATCGGAAACATCTATCTTTGTCTGACAGAATATGATCTAGCATTAGAAAATTATCATTTATCTTTGGATATCAAAATCAAATGTCTTCCTTCTCATCATTTATCTTTAGTAACAACATTGCACAACATCGGGATTGTCTATGAACAGAAATCTTCGTATCAACAAGCTCTGATCTACTTTGAAAAGGCAATGCATATTCTTCGCGAGAATCAGCCATCAACAAATTCATATATCAATGATCTTGATCAAGATATTCAACGTGTTTCGTCATTATTGAATTCTAAATTGCATATGACTTACTTTTAACTCATTTCTTATGAAATATTGCGATGTAATGTCGTAAGAACGAGCCTTTCTTTCATGTATGTCAATAAAAATAAATATGTGCATCACATTTCGTGCTACTGTTTTCACCATGTCGACGACCATCGAACATCTACCCGTGGAAATTTGGTTTCAAACATTTGTATATTTGAAAGCATCAGATCGCTTTGAAGCTTTTTCGAATCTGAATAAAAGACTTGATGACATTCTGCTTGCTTCTCAAACAAAGATAAGCTTGAAAAGCCATGACAATGAAGCATACTATTTACTTCGACATGTTTTACCAAAACTAACACACCGACAATATGTTACCGGTTTACGATTAGAAAGGACGAATAAAGTAAGCACTATGATCCGCATTACTTTCGATTATGATGCATGTATAATTATAGATCGATTTAGAGTATTATGCAGGTTTATTCGACTTTCCACAAATTGATACATTGATTCTCCATCGTTTGGATGTTAACAAGGAACTTTTAAATATTATTCGAAATAGTTTGACTCATCTTCGTTATTTGAACATTAGTACTAAAATGTCGATTAACTACAAGATGAACTCGGTTTTACTTCAACTGGTTCTGACTTTACCGCATCTGCAGATGTGTTCTATGCGATTGACTATCGCTACGCATTCCTGCCAACTGAGTAATGAACTACAAAGTCCTATGCGATCGCTAAAATTGCTCGACAAGAAGAATATTTGTTTCGTTGGACAATTAAGGAATATTCTTTCACACCTACCAAATCTACACTCATTGAATATCACTGCCAAACAGTTGTCTTTGGATTCTGTAGTTGATAAGCAAAATATCGATAGTTATCGAACTGAAATCTCAAGTTTAACTTTGTATATCTGTGAATTCGCAATGCCATTCGTACAACTAACAGAGTTTTTGTCGAACTTCGCTCCGAATCTAACGGAATTCAAACTAACCATCATCAGCTCCTTTCCAGATACATCTTGTTTGGATTATCATACATGGACTGTCTTTATCAAATCGTTATCTAAATTAAAAACGGTCACTCTACATGTTACCCATGCGAATGACGTACAGGAACGTACATGGAAGAAATGTCGTGTGAAATTAATCGATCTAATGCGAGAAAATCTAATTCAATCGGAAATTCGTTCTGCTGTTTAAGTTTTCCGATTGTACACTTCCTTTAAGAAATAAATATACATATGATCATCACATTGCTTCACTTACGCCATTCGGAGAACTCTTGTTCTTATCAAATGTTTTGATAAAAACATCAAAATCATTGTTTTGAGTACATTCATGTCCACGAAGACTCAGAAAGGTTTTGTATATATTTATGTCATTTGAATCCACGAGCATATGTGGCTTCCATTGACAAAAATTCTCTGTCAATTTCTAAATTCTTCTTAAAGTCTGTTGCCAGGTGACATGTTGATGAAATGCTTTCACATCAGATTTCGTTTCATTCTTTGTATTGTTTGTTAGTTCGAAAAACATGTCTCAACATACCTTTGTGTCACAACGAAATGATGTCTTAGAAAAAGATATTCGAAATTTACAATTGAATTTCAATGAAATCTTAACATCTGGTCAACATTATTCAACACAGGATATAACAAACAACATCAAACTAATTACAAATGCGTTGGATAACATTAAACTTGATCACGAGTTCCAGCGGGGATCGAAGAATTGGGCGAAACAATTCGATGCTAATGAAATGAAAATGAATGAATTGAGTAAATACATACGAGTTCGCTGCTTTCAGAGAAACCTTTGAATCAATTGCTGTTTGTTTTCATTTATAGATGTGAAACAAGTCATCGCACAAGGACATGATCTTAGTCATGATCTTCAAACTTGTCTTCATGCAACATCCATTCAAAATAAAGAAGAAAATCAAATGCGAGAACTGCATAGTTGGGCATGCGATGCATTAACGGATTATCTTCAAGTAATGACGAAGTTCTTTCCACTGATCATTGTTCTTATTTGTATTTTCATTCAGGTTCTTCAACCATTTGCGTCAAGTTCATATGGTCGATTAGATAATATTGCTCATCATCTTGGAGTAACCGATCGTTACATGGGTTATCGACATAATTTAACTCGAGGTAGCGGACAACCGTTGAATGTTCATACAATATGGGCAGATCGGAAACTACCTCGTGCAGTTACAGCTGTTCAACAACAATCGACACCTGATTGGAAGAATTGGGTTCATGCTTATCGACGTAATTATGCAAAAAAAACTATTCGATATGATTCCTAATCAATAGATGTCTTGTTTAGACTACGGTCCATCAGCTACAACAGCTGGCTCAGCATCATCGACTCGACAATTTTCAACTAACAATCCCAATCTTCTTGGATATTTGCGACGCGCACAGACTGCAGGTTGAATTATTCTTTAACTAATCATTTGTAATTAGTATAATCCTCACTAGACATGAAACGTCCTAGCACAACACCGAACTTTGCTTCTCGACCAACAGTTTATGAAAGTTATCAAGATGGTGAAGTTCGTAAAGCTGGTATCAATTTAACTTTCCCAGGTAAAACAGAATTTATGGATCGATACAAAAAACCTGAACCGTTATCATGTTCACCGTTTACAATCAATCCTCAACCTGATTTTACTTTACCTGGTCGACCATTAGTACGTGTTATACCCGACACGTTCAATACGGAATATACACGCAGGTAGAATTCTCATTCTTATTTTGTTTTATTGTCATATGTTCTCTTCGAAACAATTTGTTTTAGTTACGTTTTTCCTGATTCGTCGAAACTCGAGAGATTTCCATGGCTTCGTTCATAGGAAATCAAACAGTTGATGTCTTCCATAAATCCATTATTTGAATACTTTTATATAACTTAACGAGTGAAAGAAAATAACGAATTGAACACTTTTATTTTTCAAATAAAACAGTTAAGTAATCAAGTCTCAGTAGATTACGTTCAGAATCCAATGCCCAAACTTGACTGTCGTCTGTCGAGACTAAAAGAAAAGAAAAACATGTAGAATGAATTTGATTCTCGTTTGAAAATACAAACCAGTCAAAGAAAGAAAATGGCCCGGTAACGTTATTGATCGTGTCCCAACAGGATTTGTTAGAGAAATATTTTCTCGACATTGAATTTCGCCACAGCTTGTCAATAACCACAGCGTGTGTTCACTAACTGCTAGTTCAAGAGCTGAGCAATCTATTGATGAAAAGAAAGAATGTCACTGAAATTCATCGGCATATGCAGCTAGCTTCGTTACCTTCGATGGGTGTCCATGATGTTCCAACACGATTTTGTTCATTGACACCAAGTCGAGCATAAACAGTCTGTTTATTATCAGTTGCATAAACCTAAGAGAAAAACCATCAATTTCGAAACATAGAAACAATCATTATGATCAACTATTACCATCCAATCTGCTGGTCCACAAAAGACTTGTGAAAAATATCGATATCGCTTTGCTTCTCCAGGAATTGTGATCCAAGCAGGTGGTAATAACGACAATTCATTGACAACAATGTTTTCACTCGCAGAAATATGTCCATGACGGAAATGAATTAATCCTTGATCATCAACAGCCCATACACCTGCCTGATTACAAACCATATGTACTAACCTTCGACTCCATTCTAAATATTGAAAAAGAAAACGAATCTATTCTGAAGAGGAAAGAAAAACTTTCTTCCACCAACCGAATTGACTTTGATTTAACTGTTCCCATTGAGTATTACTTTCGATGTTCGGCCGAACATAAATATTACAAGATTCATCCAACGACCAGAGGACAGTGTCTAATGAATTACGTAGTATATACAGGCAGTAAACATGTAATGCTTACTTTCCGACAAGTTATTTGGAACAAATGTCGCATGGGTTATGTATTGACACTGTCGCGGTTTTTCAAGTGTTTGATGATTCGATGTACAGATCATTCGATCAGTATTCAATGCCCACACATGGCCTACAGAAAAGGAAGCTGTTTCACAGGAATATAATCGTTAAAAATAAATACAAACTTTCATTGGAAAATACACCGATTAAACGTTGTAAACGAGTTGTCTTCTGAATCAATCTCCATTGAATACCTTGAATGAAATCATAATGGGAAAAGGGTTATTATCCGGAATATTTCCTACCAGTTAGAAAATTCGAGAAAATATGCAGTTTTTCTTCACAATCAGTTAAACATATTAGACTTGAATTGACACTAGTTATATGTCGCCGATGATGTACAGTCCAATCGTCATGACGCAAGACTTCGAAAAAGCCTTGATCCGTCGACCATTGTTGTAGCCATAGACGATGCTGTTTATCCACAATGAAAATTGTATCCGTATTTGTCAATAACACAAAGTCATCAATTGGGCCAAAACTGCAAGAAAACCATCAGAATAAAACCATTGCTTATTTCATTTACTTTCTCATACTTATGATCAATAAAAATCCATCCGTCACCTTCAGGACAGTCATTGGTACATCCAACGCGTATCATAATTTCTCCGCTGGATGCTGTTACACCCACCTTCTCAGCAAAGCAGAATACACCTATCAAATGGAACGGACATGGAACATTCAATGTTTGTTGCTTGTCATTATTTGTTGTTCGAATAAACCAGAGTGAGCCATCTTTCTTGATATACCTATAATTTTACAAAAGTACGCATTTCTAAGCAATCGTTTTGAAGTAGATCTGTCATCTTACCAGCCACATTGATCGTTGATTGACATGCTTAACAAAATCGACCCTAGCTTGATTTCGTTCCATCGAGAACCTATTGGAGGGAATTTGATGGCATCGACCGATGAATAGAGACGTTTGTTATATAGACGCCATACAGATCGATTGCTGACGCTAACAGCAAGTTGTTCAGCGAAGTCAGAGTGCTGCTGCCATTGTAATTGAGAACTAAGATCGGAATCGTTAGCGACTTTAGCATAGAAAATTTTCTGATTATTCGTGCACACGTAAATATAGGTTGACGAACAAGTTATGGAGGAAATTTTGATGCCCGATGGAAGTAAGTAAGAAGAAGCCAATGGAAAATATTTCCTTTCTATTACTTTTTCTTCGCTTGTAATTGTGGAAGTTCTTTGATCGTCCGATTCGTCCACAAATACGTCGTCACTTGCTGAATCCGTAGTAACATAGTCCAATGAATGAATTGAAGGTGAATTTGAACAAACTGATGTGTGGGTGGCATCGTCTGCATAAGATATATCGTCGCTTATTTCAGAACACTTACTATCGACTTCATCGGTCGATGTTGTTTGATGTTGGATCGATATGAGTTCTACATCGGCGTCGGAGTCGTTGTCGATTTTAGCGAGAAACATACGCAGTTCAGCTAAACTAGTAGATTTCTGTAAAATTTCTTCCGTTGACTGCTGTATGATTGACTGAGAAGACGGCATTTTTTCAAATGAATCCTCCAGTTCATTGTGCGGTGTTTTGGAAATATCTTCTGTATTATCTGTTGATGTGGATAATTCATCTTCGGTTGCATCTTGATCTTTATGTTCGATTGAGTCTGTATCCACATGTGTGCACTGTAATGATTGTTCATCATCAACATTACTGGATGCCGCCAAAATGTCGTTGTTAGTAGTGAGTGCTGATGGTTCATCACTGGTCTTGTTTTCATCATTGTCTTCAACATGAGATTGCGTTTCATTTAATGCATTTTTCGGATCTTCAACCGTTGTAGTAGACACGAATGTTTCTTTTTGAACAGTTTCAAAGTCAAATTGTGCAATTCGAGTGCCATCTTCTGTTGGGATGAAGTCTAGCGTCTGCAGTTCCTCTTCTTTCGGTAGTTCAACTGACGGATGATCGTCGTCTCTTGCGTCTTCATTGATATTTTTCTGGTCTTCGGATTCATCTAAAAGTTCATTCTGCTCAATAATCTCTTCATTGGATCTACTTGTAACAATGTCGCAATGTTCGACTAAATCTTGTGCTAGTTGAAGTTTCTCTTTTTCCAATGTATCGATGGTTACAGTGTTGTCAACAAGTTCATGAACACTTGCTATTACATCCAATAGTTCGTGTAGACATGCAATGACTTGTTCGCGATTAATTTGCTCGGTGATAATCGTATTTTCAGGCAGTTTAGCATGTTTCTCATTACTTTTCAGTTCGTTGGAATGAATCTTAGGTTCACGACTTGATTCATTATCGGCATCGAGAGTCAAAGATGAACCAGAGACTGCACCTAGGAATCAAAATAAAATGATCGATTTACAACGTGTGCACTACGTATATTACCATTTTTTTTTGAACTACGTCGTCTTCCTTTGGTATGAGGTATCGTTAAAGGTTCAGAAGTTGGGCTAGGTATCGAGGGAATTTCTGGTAATGCTGGAATAGTGTGTAATACTAAGAAAATATGTTTACAAATACATATTAATGTGCGTAGTAAATCAGAAACTAACCGAGTGGCACTGGTTTTGTTACAGTTAGAATTGCACCATCTGGATTTTCTACGGAAGGTCGCCAGATATTTTGCTGAACAACTTCTAATCTCGTCGATTCAGCTTTGAGACGTTGCCTTCAAAACATAAAACATCAAATCTAATTGAGATCAGAGAGAAATAAATCTATGCACTTTTCTAAATCATCTTGAGCTTCTTTGAGTTTCTTGTCAAGTGAATCAGTGAATTTTACCAGACTTTTCTTCGCGGAGCCTTGTACTGTTTGTGCTTGATCTTTTATTCTCTTGAACCAGCCATTCGATGTCATAATTACGAAAGAGAAAATGAGAATCTTTTCAAAAATGAATAACTATTACGTGAACTGCTAAGATGTTGACTCACTTGATGACACTTTATCTTTATCTCTGCACTTTCTTTTTTATTCAAATGATGATGATGATGATGTAGAGAATTAGAAAAAAAGCGATGTTTGAGAAAATGATAACATTATCCGTCCTTTATTTTTTCTTCCTCACGGACCAGAGAAGAATAGATAAAAGAAAAGGCAACGTTGCACAGGCAAGCAAAACCTCCTTATGTTTGACTGACTGATTGGCTTCGTGGTACATTCGATGGCAAATCTGGCAATGAAACCGATACAGATCGTTCTGCACGTTGTGCATCGCGTATACTCAATGTTGATTTGTCCGTTGCTGAAAGTCGAAATGCTGTTGTTTGTGGAATGGATTGTCGGACTGGCGATGCCCATCTCACTCGAGGTTTATGATCGATTTCAAGAATAGGTTCAATCATAGAAGCGGATATGAATTTCGTTTGAGGTTGAAGTTGATTTGCCGAGATGGGCTCAGTTCGATATCGTTGCACATCACGCCTTCTAATGGATTCGGGCGCACGAGGCTGAAGACTTCGTGCTAATGCTGGTAAAGTACGATTGTTGCTCAGATTGCTTGACTAAAGAAAATGAAAGAAGTTGATACGTATGCATGTATGACAACATGAAAATTAGCAATTTACTGCGAGTTGTATGGGAACAGTAGTACTCATATCGACATTTCGACTTGCATGTGTTCCTAAATGTACGCGAAGGTCAGCTGTAAAATGGTTAGAAATGAACAATCTTTACCTTCTCGCAATAAACGTCGCCCAACAGAAGACATTGACGCTTTTGATGAACTAATATTCGTTGCTGAGGAATACAAAGAACTGACTGTTTCAGTACGTTTCATTCGGGGCGGACTTTGAGATAGTGGTTCATAAAGTGAATGTCGATGTGCATTATTAACTAAATATTAGTTAATGAATGAATCAACACTATTCTGTGAAAGACAGAAAGTCTTCGTCAAACACTTACATTCATCTTTCAAAGTTCGAGTTTTTGCTGGTTTGCTGCGAAATCGACCTTCACTTGTGACGGCCGCTACTTCCATAGTATATTCTGTATCTGATTTGAGCATTGTTGCACGATGTTCTTGAGCTGTACCGGAATATATACATCGTCGATTACAAAATAATTCGTAGCGAGTGAGACGACCAGCAATCACGTCAGGTGGTTGCCATTTGACGAATATTTCTCGTCGACCTATAACTGAATATG